GTGATTGAATCATTGTTACTCTAGATGAAACAGCTGAAACATCCACAGGCTTTTGGTGGTCTGTTACTATTCAGCAGAACATAAGAAGTTGGAGAGGACAGCTTCATATGATAAAGTGCAATGTGGGAACACGCTTCAAAGTCTGTGCAATCATCTAAACCTTTCTTAGAAGTTGGTGTAAGCAACGTAAACCTTTTAATGGAATGCCTGCAGTGGTGGTTCATACTACTGCTTGCTTTCAGTAAATGCATGAGGAAAACATAATAAATGTATGTCTACTTGTGCTTGCTTAAAAAGGAGGCTTAGTACCTGGAAAGTGGGTGTTGACTTGGATATTATTTTAATTATTATACCATTGTGCTAGTTATTTGCAGGGCTGGTTTGCACTTGGAGCAAGTTAAAGTAAATATTAAATTATTATACCTATTACACCATTAACTAAATCACTTAATGGTCTTACTATTGCCAACATATATGTTAAAAATAATTGTCTCTTTATAAGATTGTTGAAGGGAAAATCTAGGATGGTTCAGCAACATTGTGTATTGTTAATATTGTACTTAAACCCATTCATATGTGAGGTTGCCAAAGTAATATAAATCCATAAGAAACATTGCTACAACAAGGTATAGTATTGTGGCATAGCTTTGGTATTTAATATGTTTATCCAACACAGAGACAGAAACATTAACCACCTTAATGTCTTCCCTCCAAGCTGATACAGGACTTGCTAGTCTATGGCAATGAATACATTTTGAAATTATATTTGCTTGGTAGGGTCACAAACTAAAGGAATTGAAATGCATAAATTGGACAAATTGAATAATAAAAGCATCCTCATGTCATAGAAATGAATTTTCAAAATGCATCTGCCCACTATGATATTAATAATCTTTTACTAATATTTTTATATGATCTAAAAGTTAATAACTGCTAATTGCTTTGCATTGGGTTATGAGGATCTGCATCAAGCTAAAAGGAAAAATATTTTTTGTATGTGTTTCATTCTGTACAAAACATGAAAATGTGTTTCAGGCATAATGTCATATAAAATGAGTGTAATGGATGTCGGATTTTATGGAGAAATATTTTCTTACTATTTGCTAAAAAAATGGGGAGAAAAACTGTAACATTTCCTGTTTTCTAATTCAAGTTGCTTTCATTGTAAATAAGAGCAATAGGGTAATAGTTTTGTGCCAATGTTTTTTTTTTTAAATCTTGAAAACTATAATTATTTAAGGTACTTTTGAAGATTTGTCTCATGCAGAAATCTAGGACTCTAAGACTTGTTAAAATTGTTTTTGTTTTGTTTTGTTTTGCCTTTTAAGTTGTGTGGCTTTGGGGTGATGGGGTTATACTAAGTTTATAAAGTATCCGTAGTATCAGTCATTTCTCTGAGGAATACAGCTAATTAAACTGGCTAATTGCACCACTTAGAGTAATCCCTCCAAATGAGTGGAATATGCATCTCTAGTAATAATAACAATGTTCCTACATTATTATTATTACTATTATTATTATTATTATTATTATTATTATTAACATATGAACAAAATTATTCTTGGTGTAGTTGATGGAAATATTTGGACAAGCAAGTTCAGGATATAAATTGGATTGGGTTATGTTAAATTACAGCATTAGATCCCACTATGGAAGCAATAAAGTCCACCATGTATGTACTCTGCAGTCCAAAATATTTTACCACTTTAATTCCCCTTCCCCAAAAATCATGCTGCAACTTCCATCAACAGCTTTATATAAAGATTTCACAAATGTTTTCTACTTGTAAAATACATATCAGTTCTTATATCCTCCAGTGTAGTAGTAGTATCCTGCAATTAATTCTTTAGAAATGCTGCTCTCCTCTAATCAGAAGGCACAAAATGCAAGTGAAGAGAGCTGGAGAGAGGTTTTTTGATAGAACTAGTATGGCCAGCACTTTGCTGCAAGCAAAGGACAGATTAGGATGTAACATCTGTGGAAGGTACAATGAATTGCTTCAGTTGCAGCTGTTTAGGGAGGATAAGAAGTAGAGAAAAAGTGGGATCTCAGCAGTTTTTGTATCTGGTGGAGGCAGAATTCCATTAGATTTTTGGAAGGAGGTCTGCTTGATAGACTAGATTACAACTATGCAGGCCTTCAGCTGGCAATGGATGATTCCCCAGGTACCTGAGAATCTTGTAGCATGTCTACCCCAGACACTGTTAAGCCATATATGTTTTGTTCAAGTGTTCCTCTTCACTGTGACTAAACTCTCTGCAAGGAATGGAGACATCTGGTACTAGTAGTCTTAATTTATAGTTAATAACAAACACAAATTATTTAGATCTGTACATGCTATACAGCAAAGTTACATGCATACATCATCTCCACATGATGTAAAGCATATTGACCAGGATATTGTTTTCATGTGTGTTCCATCCATACACATGAACAATTTATTGGACCATATAGATTAAATACCTACATAAGTAGAAAGTGTACAAGGTGGCAGGGAAGAACTTGCCTTCCACTAGTTATTAATAAATGTCTAGATGTTGTATTATAAAAGAGTGGAAGATCAGAAGAAGAATTTTTTTTTCTTCCACTATCCCTATGAGCATTAAAATAAGGCTCTTCACTGAAGAGAAGTTATAGTGAATTCATTTCCTTCTCTGTAGGCAACCAGTCTCCATTCACTTGTAGCTGAATAGGCATAGAAGCAGATTCTCAGATGCAGTAAACTAGCCATGGTAGTGATTTAGTGCACATACCTACCTGAACATAATTTCATTTTGCCAGTTTGACTTGCTTCCAAGCAAATGAGTTGAGAGAGAGGCCTTTTGAGAGAGATGCCTTAACTACAAATACAGTGGCTTGGATCTAAAGGTGCTGTTGCACTTGTGAGAGGTTTCTGGATTACAGAAGGAAATCCCTTACAATAGCCTTCCCCAATCTGGACATCTTCCAAATG